GAATGTGATGAAATAAATAAAAGCTGAAATAAATCATTCTATACTATTATTCTGACATTTCACATTCTTAAAATAAAGTGGTGATCCTAACTGACCTAAGACAGGACATTTTTACTAGGATTAAATGTCAGGAATTGTGAAAAACTGAGTTTAAATGTATTTGGCTAAGGTGTATGTAAACATTCGACTCAACTGTACTAGATCTACACTGTAAAAAGTATCTAGACATTATCTCCCATTTCTTTTAGACTAACATTTTTCAACAGCGGAGATTTGTAATAACCTTGCTGTCTGTCTCTCCAACATTTAAACATTGTTTCAATATTGAAATTCGATCTCCAACTGTCCTATGGTAATGAACGTGTCGAGTCAGACAGGCTTGCAGCTTTTCTTAGCCAGTCGAAATCATGAATCAGCATAATATTTATGGATATATACAAGGAAATGTCAACAGAAAAACACGAAATGCAGCTAGTTTGCTGTCATTCCAGCTTCAGTTTGAAGTGAATGTGTTAGCTGTGTAGTTGGCTATCTATTCTGAACAGTGGCCTGGCGAGAGAGCAAATGTTCTATGCCAGGCGAAATCACACATTATTTGCTCATTGTTATGGATGTATCTAAAAAAAAAATCACTAGAAAATAGCTTAAACAAACGCAAATGCAGCTCCTTTGCTGTTATTGTGGCTGCACTATTTGACATGACGGTGTTAGCCAAAGTTGGCTAGCTAGCAAGCAAGGGATAAGAACGTTGCCAGCCATCATGGCAACAGAACATTTTGAATAAAATCCATAGATACAGAACAAAAAGACTGAACGACTGTGTCGTGTCTCTGGCAACCGAAACCGATAGAACGAACAACCAGCCGGCTTGGGTAGCAACCCTAGATTTGTGTCGGGACTATATCTCGTGGAAGGATTAAATAGTATGAATAAATTCATAAAAATAAAGTTTTTAATGAAAATATGTCAATCATTAGTGATAATGCCCTCAAAAGTGATAATGCCCTCAAAGCTGGTGTTTGGAGGATATATTGGCACGGTTTGCTGGCTCTCGACTTCGTCTCGGGCCTAACAACACCCACCGTGCCAATATATACAGTGGGGAAAAAAAGTATTTAGTCAGCCACCAATTGTGCAAGTTCTCCCACTTAAAAAGATGAGAGAGGCCTGTAATTTTCATCATAGGTACACGTCAACTATGACAGACAAAATGAGGAAAAAAATTCCAGAAAATCACATTGATTTTTAATGAATTTATTTGCAAATTATGGTGGAAAATAAGTATTTGGTCAATAACAAAAGTTTCTCAATACTTTGTTATATACCATTTGTTGACAATGACACAGGTCAAACATTTTCTGTAAGTCTTCACAAGGTTTTCACACACTGTTGCTGGTATTTTGGCCCATTCCTCCATGCAGATCTCCTCTAGAGCAGTGATGTTTTGGGGCTGTCGCTGGGCAACACGGACTTTCAACTCCCTCCAAAATGTTCTATGGGGTTGAGATCTGGAGACTGGCTAGGCCACTCCAGGACCTTGAAATGCTTCTTACGAAGCCACTCCTTCGTTGCCCGGGTGGTGTGTTTGGGATCATTGTCATGCTGAAAGACCCAGCCACGTTTCATCTTCAATGCCCTTGCTGATGGAAGGAGGTTTTCACTCAAAATCTCACGATACATGGCCCCATTCATTCTTTACTTTACACGGATCAGTCGTCCTGGTCCCTTTGCAGAAAAACAGCCCCAAAGCTTGATGTTTCCACCCCCATGCTTCACAGTAGGTATGGCGTTCTTTGGATGCAACTCAACATTCTTTGTCCTCCAAACACGACGAGTTGAGTTTTTACCAAAAAGTTATATTTTGGTTTCATCTGACCATATGACATTCTCCCAATCCTCTTCTGGATCATCCAAATGCACTCTAGCAAACTTCAGACGGGCCTGGACATGTACTGGCTTAAGCAGGGGGACACGTCTCGCACTGCAGGATTTGAGTCCCTGGCGGCGTAGTGTGTTACTGATGGTAGGCTTTGTTACCTTGGTCCCAGCTCTCTGCAGGTCATTCACTAGGTCCCCCCGTGTGGTTCTGGGATTTTTGCTCACCGTTCTTGTGATCATTTTGACCCCACAGGGTGAGATCTTGCGTGGAGCCCCAGATCGAGGGAGAGTATCAGTGGTCTTGTATGTCTTCCATTTCCTAATAATTGCTCCCACAGTTGATTTCTTCAAACCAAGCTGCTTACCTATTGCAGATTCAGTCTTCCCAGCCTGGTGCAGGTCTACAATTTTGTTTCTGGTGTCCTTTGACAGCTCTTTGGTCTTGGCCATAGTGGAGTTTGGAGTGTGACTGTTTGAGGTTGTGGACAGGTGTCTTTTATACTGATAACAAGTTCAAACAGGTGCCATTAATACAGGTAACGAGTGGAGGACAGAGGAGCCTCTTAAAGAAGAAGTTACAGGTCTGTGAGAGCCAGAAATCTTGCTTGTTTGTAGGTGACCAAATACTTATTTTCCACCATAATTTGCAAATAAATTCATTAAAAATCCTACAATGTGATTTTCTGGATTTTTTTTTCTCAATTTGTCTGTCATAGTTGACGTGTACCTATGATGAAAATTACAGGCCTCTCTCATCTTTTTAAGTGGGAGAACTTGCACAATTGGTGGCTGACTAAATACTTTTTTTCCCCACTGTATCCTCCAAACACCGGCATTGAGGGCATTATCACTTAATTATTTCATGGCATTGTTGAATAGTCCGTTCTGATTGGCATGAAGTGCATTCTAGATTGTGCTATGAAAAAGTATTTGCCCCTTTTCTAATTTTCTCTACTTTTGCTTCATCTGGACTGATCTAAAATAAGAAAACATTACAAAACCTTTTGCTACATCGTGCTCTACACTACTGAACACGAGTTCCTTCTATTAAGGCAAGTCGTCCAGGTCCTGAGGCAGCAAAGCATCCCCAAACCATCACACCACCACCACCACCATGCTTGACCTTTGGTATGATGTTCTTACTGTGGAATGCAGTGTTTGGTTTTCGCCAGGCATTACTGGAACCATGTCGACTTGCGTTAATAGAAGGAACCATGAATTCTGCTCTGTATCAGAGAATTCTACAGGAGAATGTCAGACCATCCGTCTGTGAGCTGAAGCTGAAGCGCAGCTGGGTCATGCAGCAAGACAATGATCCAAAACACACAATCAAGTCTACATGAAAATTGCTAAAAAGCAACAAATTGGAAGTTTTGGAATGGCCTAGTCAAAGTCCAGACCTAATCCCAATTGAGATGTTGTGGCAGGACTTGAAACGAGCAGTTCATGCTTGAAAACCCACACGTCACTGAGTTAAAGCAGTTCTGCATGGAAGAGTGGGCCAAAATTCCTCCACAGCGACGTGAGAGACTGATCAACAACTACAGGAAGCATTTGGTTGGAGTCATTGCAGCTAAAGGTGGCACAACCAGTTATTGAGTGTAAGGGGGCAATTAATTTTTCACACAGGGGAATTGGGTGTTGCATAACTTTGTTTATGTAAATAAATACATTAAATAAATATGTAATTGTTGTGTTATTTGTTCACTTCTGTTCCCTTTATCTAATATTAGGTTTTGGTTTAAGATCTGATAACATTCAGTATCACAAATATGCAAAAGTAGAGAAAATTAGAAAGGGGGCAAATACTTTTTCATATCACTGTATTTGCACTGTAGAATTCAATGGCTATAGTGAATTTTTACATGTTCTGTTTGAGCTGAAAACAGTATTGGTAATGTTGAATTCGAAATTCATAATAGCAAGCTAGGACTAATGGTTTGGTTAGCTAAACTAGCAAGTCTGTTTGTTTGGTTACCACGGCAACTACTGTAGCTATCTAGTAAACTTGCTAGCTAGCTACTTCAGTGGATGTTGAACACATTTATACCGGCAAATGTGTTAATTTATAGCCATGGTATAAAAGGGATAATCAACTCGGGTCTCTATGCGTTCTCCGGAAAAGAATGCAACTCCATGGAAGGTCAGTTCCACTCCGCTAGCGGTGCGTCGTTCATTATTTTCCATAAAACGCATGGCTCCTTGTTGATTAACCCTTACATAATGCATGCTCTAGAAAGCCAATCAGAAACAAGTATTCAACAATGCCTTGGTATAATATCAAGTATTTACAGTTTAATTTTACAGTACTGACATCACTGAGAAACAGCAGGGTTGCGTTGAGCAGGGTGCAACACAATAGGCCTACATTTAAACTGCACCCCACTGAAGAGACCCCAGGTCTCATTGAACCACTGAAGGCCATTGATAACCATAACTGTCTCTAAAATATAGGCTACAGGTACTGTATATACTGTAGGAGTAGAAAGAAACGCTACACAAAAAACATCTGCCAACAAGACAATAAATCTCATAAAATGCTACATCGAAAAACATTCATCATAATCCATAAAACATGCCCACTCCCAAATGAGTTGAGTAGGCCTCAGTGGAGGCTGGTGGGAGGAGCTATAGGAGGATGGGCTCATTGTAATGGCTGGAATGGAATTAATGGCATTATGTTTGATACCGTTCCATTAATTCCATTACAGCCATTACAATGAGCCTGCCTCCTATAGCTCCTCCCACCAGCCTCCACTGGTAGGCCTACACCGCATGTATGGAGAAACTAGTTGTGTAGGTTCTACCATGTTGCTTTCACCATCTCACCAGATCACTGGTCATGAAGGAAAGAAGTATAGGTGTGTGACAGTTGAGACACACTTACATCAGCATGCATTCATCAATACATTAACTGGGCCCCTGGTTAGACTGTCCACTGTTCAGCTGTAATTCGCTGTAAACCTCCTAAATGTGAATCCAACACATGCTAACACCAGGATGAAAACCAGCAGACGGACGCTGCTGACTTCTTGCCAGGTCTCTCTCAAAAAATAGGTTCTTCACCTTGAGATCTCCTGTTGAAACGAAGGCTAAATCACTGCAGGTTTTCATCTCTGCTGCTACAGCGAGTTGCTGAGCAGGCCTACTCCCTGTGTGGCTGTGTGTGCTGAGGAATTCCCACTCTCTGGCGTCATCTGCTGGTTGATGTTGATAACACAGGTGAGCAGGAGGAAGACGACCACCAGGTCATCCAGGACCCCCAGGAGGCCAGACAGGGAGGATGGAGTGTCCAGGGGGGCAGAGGAGAGGGACACCACGGCCCCCAGACAGCAGAGCACCACTCTGAGAAAGAATAGGCATACGAGCCCCCCCGTAGCGCCCAGGCCGCGAGCTAGCAGCTGCAGGAACAGGGGTGTGTCACACAGGTAGTCTGTCACCTAAGGGACAGAAGACAAGACAGGGGCACAGGTATGAGTAGAGGGTGTCACGGTCACCTCACCTGGCTTCAGGTGGGACAGAGATCTGGCTCGTGTTCAGTAGAGTAGAGCACAATGTAGAAAAAGGTTTTGTAATGTTTTCTTATTTTAGATCAGTCCAGATGAAGTAAAGGAAATGAGGAGAGGTGGCCACTTTAGAGTATTGAGATGTACCCAAGAGTATCAACCACAGGAGTGAGAGAGAATTGTATTCTACTTTAGTGTGATATCCTTCCATTGTCCTTGTACAATACAGTCTCTATGCGGTGGTTGCATAAGCAGTATTCCAGTTATAAAACCATTGTCAGAGGGATGGGAAAGCAACTCACTTTTATTATCATGTAAATACTGTTATCTATTCTGCAGCCACATTCAAGGTCAAAATTAAATCACAGAACTTGATATGTTCATAAAAGGTGAAAGAGAGCAAGCTATCTACAGTATAACAAAGGCTATGAAGTTTAGAGAGAGAAAAATACCTGCAGAAAGACCCTTGAGAATGTGTTGTATGGTTTAATTGGTAAAAATAGTCTGAAGGTTTTGTGTGTTACTAGGTTGTAGTGTGGTTGTAGCATGTTTTAATAAATGTGTGTGGTACACATACAGTGGCTTGTGAAAGTATTCACCCCCCTTGGCATTTTTCCTATTTTGTTGCCTTACAACCTGGAATTAAAATGGATTTTTGGGGGGTTTGTATCATTTGATTTACACAATATGCCTACCACTTTGAAGATTTATTTATTTATTGTGAAACAAACAAAGTCAATACTTTGTAGAGCCACCTTTTGCAGCAATTACAGCTGCAAGTCTCTTGGGGTATGTCTCTATAAGCTTGGCACATCTAGCCACTGGGATTTTTGCCCATTCTTCAAGGCAAAACTGCTCCAGCTCCTTCAAGTTGGATGGGTTCCGCTGGTGTACAGCAATCTTTAAGTTATACCAAAGATTCTCAATTGGATTGAGGTCTGGGCTTTGACTAGGCCATTCCAAGACATTTAAATGTTTCCCCTTAAACCACTTGAGTGTTGCTTTAGCAGTATGCTTAGGGTCATTGTCCTGCTGTAAGGTGAACCTTCGTCCCAGTCTCAAATCTCTGGAAGACTGAAACAGGTTTCCCTCAAGAATTTCCCTGTATTTAGTGCCATCCATCATTCCTTCAATTCTGACCAGTTTCCCAGTCCTTGCCGATGGAAAAACAACCCCACAGCATGATGCTGCCACCACCATGCTTCACTGTGGGGATAGTATTCTCGGGGTGATGAGAGGTGTTGGGTTTGCGCCAGACATAGCGTTTACCTTGATGGCCAAAAAACTCAATTTGAGTCTCATCTGACCAGAGTACCTTCTTCCATATGTTTGGGGAGTCTCCCACATGCCTTTTGGTGAACACCAAACGTGTTTGCTTATTTTTTTGGGGCCACTCTTCCGTAAAGCCAAGCTCTGTGGAGTGTACGGCTTAAAGTGGTCCTATGGACAGATACTCCAATCTCCGCTGTGGAGCTTTGCAGCTCCTTCAGCGTTATCTTTGGTCTCTTTGTTGCCTCTCTGATTAATGCCCTCCTAGCCTTGTCCGTGAGTTTTGGTAGGCAGCCCTCTCTTGGCAGGCTTGTTGTGGTGCCATATTCTTTCCATTTTTTAATAATGGATTTAATGGTGCTCCGTGGGATGTTCAAAGTTTCGGATATTTTTTTATAACCCAACCCTGATCTGTACTTCTCCACAACTTTGTCCCTGACCTGTTTGGAGAGCTCCTTGGTCTTCATGGTGCCGCTTGGTGGTGACCCTTGCTTAGTGGTGTTGCAGACTCTGGGGCCTTTAAGAACAGGTGTATATATACGGAGATCATGTGACAAATCATGTGACACTTAGATTACACACAGGTGGACTTTATTTAACTAATGATGTGACTTCTGAAGGTAATTGGTTGCACCATAATTAGGGGCTTCATAGCAAAGGGGGTGAATACATATGCACACACCACTTTTACGTTATTAATTTTTTTGAATTTTTTAAAACAAGTTATTTTTTTCTTTTCACTTCACCAATTTGGACTATTTTGTGTATGTCCATTACATGAAATCCAAATAAAAATCAATTTAAATTACAGGTTGTAATGCAACAAAATAGGAAAAACGCCAAGGGGGATGAATACTTTTGCAAGGCACTGTAGAGATAGAACAATATAATATATGGTCTATGGTGGTACTGACCCTTCGAGGGGTTCCTGAGTAGCGTTTGTTGTAGTCTGTGATTTCTCCCAGAACCTCCCTCTCCTTTTTGTCTGACTGACCCTCACCGAATAGACGACACAGGACACTGACCTGAGAGAGAGAGGGAAAATCCATTCCAGTTACATTCAATTAATTCTGAACCATTATTTATCACTTTTATTCAACATCATTTTGCTATTTTTCTTGTCGGATAACAAGTGTAATATCATGGTAATAATGTATGTTTCTACAGTTGGGTGTGTCTTGCTTACCCTTTGTCTACACAGAGGGCAGCTGATGGCATTCAGCCAGGACCCATGTCTCCAGTACGAGATCAGACAGAGAGCTGCAGACAGAGAAACAAGGTAACATAAATAAGTACTCAATCACTACTCTTTTCATTAATATTTTTACCCACAAAACAACGATTCACCATTAGGGAAACTGTCATATTGCTAGTGTAATGTGTTCATATTATTGTGCGTGAGGGGGAATGCGGGTATGAGCAAAATGCTGACGGCAGCATGAGATGCTTTTGTAGTAGTGACATGACCTTGTCTACTGCATGTTAATTAAGTACAGCTCCTCTCGCTCTCTCTCTCTATCTGAGGGGGAGGCAGGGGTAAGTGGGGCAGGTCGAGTGGAGTAGTTATTGCATCATGTGATGATGACACAGATAATGGTGAAGGAGAGGGAGAGGAGATTGGCCAATGCTTCTACCATTGTCAACCACTATCTGAAACCACCACTCATATAGCTGTCTATCACTGTTGTCCCACTTCTGTAATGAGAAAAACTGTTGATGAACTGTTGATGAAATTACTCAACTGATCCGTTGAATACTCAGGGATAGCAAACAGAACTGGGTCGAAAAAGTATTTAAAATGTGTTAAATACTTGGTACTCTTGATTTAGCAAATTTGTATTTTGCACTTTTGGGACTATTTATTGGTTCTATTGAGCTTGACTAACTAAATCAAGCACACCTCAAATATTTCAAGTATTATAGCAAGCCAATGAACAGACTGGCAGCCAGGTTAGCGTTGTCATAACAATGCCATATGATCACCATATCCTAGGACCCTTTTAGACCATGGATGGCTGGTGGGAGTTCCTCTTTTCCATTATTTCCATAGAGACCCTTTGGCCAAATGAGAGAGGTGTGTGTGAATGAGCAAAGCCTGAGTGTGTGTGATCTCCTTCAGGTGGGAGCCACACACTTGTTCACTATAGCAACGGTTGTCAAATATTAACCCCCCAAGCTAGACACACTTCCTCTTTAAGGAATACCTGGGATAGGATAAAGTAATCCTTCTATCCCCCAGGATTATTTCCAGCACCATCACAAACTGTTTTAGAGACTGACCGACAGGGTCTGGTAGTGCTCCAGTTCTCCCTGTCAGAATAAGCAACAGGGGACTTGGAAAGCATATCAACTCCTATAGAAATGGCACTATGGTTATTCTGAGTAACTTAATTTATGTTCCATTAACTCCGCCTTCTAGTGAGCTTTTTCAAACTGTCATCTCCTACCATTCTGATAAATTGGAGACTGTTAGAAAATGTGGTTGTAACGTTAATAATTTGGTTGTTATTCCATTGGTTACCTCGAAGCAGATGCCCCAGGGGCAGAGTGGCCCACACTCATTGAATGTCGCTTTTAAGCGTTAGAGCAATCACTAGTAAAACCTTTCTCATGAATGACCTCATTACTGAGCACAAAGATGATTGCATGTTTCTCACTGAAACATGACTGTCTTCAGACTGTAGTGCCGCTCTTATTGAAGCCTCCCCCCGGACTACAGCTTTTCATACTCTATCAGAAAAAGGAAAACGAGTGGGGGGGACAGCCTCTACTTTAACTAATGCTCTCAGCTGTAAGGACATTTCATTTGGCGACTTTCGGTCTTTTGAGCATTATGCCATACTGTTTAAATGTCAGCCACCAGTGCTGGCCACCAAAGCACTGCCCCACTTTCTTTACTGATTTCTCTAAACTATTGCCTATTGTCCTTGAGAACTCTAATAAAATCATTGTGTTGGGCGTTGATTGTGTTGAGCCCCTTGGATGAGTGAAAAAACAAATCAATTAAAGACAAATTGCAGAAAGGCAGCGCGGAAGTGGAGAAAGTCAAAGTTGCAGGTCCATTATGATATTCTGAGAGAACAACTTGGCATATATAACAAGACAATTAGAAATGCCAGGCGGGCTCATTTTTCTAACTTGATCACTAATTCAAGAGTGCTCTTCTCGACCATTGATGACCTGATAAATCCTACCCCCACAAACTGATGTGAACTTTCCTCCACATCTCCAGTTGAAGTCGGAAGTTTACATACACCATAGCCAAATACATTTAAACTCAGTTTTTCACAATTCCTGACATTTAATCCTAGTAAAAATTCCCCGTCTTAGGTCAGTTAGGATCACCACTTTATTTTAAGAATGTGAAATGTCAGAATAATAGTAGAGAGAATGATTTATTTCAGCTTTTATTTCTTTCATCACATTCCCAGTGGGTCAGAAGTTTAGTTACACTGAATTAGTATTTGGTAGCATTGCCTTTAAATTGTTTAACTTGGGTCAAACGTTTCGGGTAGCCTTCCACAAGCTTCCCACAATAAGTTGGGTGAATTTTGGCCCATTCCTCCTGACAGAGCTGGTGTAACTGAGTCAGGTTTGTAGGCCTCCTTGCTCGCACACGCTTTTTCAGTTCTGCCCGCAAATTTTCTATAGGATTGAGATCAGGGCTTTGTGATGGCCACTCCAATGCCTTGACTTTGTTGTCCTTAGGCCATTTTGCCACAATTTTGGAAGTATGCATTGTCCATTTGGAAGACCCATTTGCGATCAAGAGATAAGATAACATATTTCAGAGATAAGATAACAAACATTAGGCTGGGTATCAGTCAAGCAAGACCTGATGGGGCGGCAGGTAGCTTAGTGGTTAAGAGCGTTGTGCTAGTAACCGAAAGGTCGCTGGTTCTAATCCCCAAGCCAACTAGATGAAAAATCTGTCGATGTGCCCTTGAGCAAAGCACTTAACCCTAATTGTTCCTGTAAGTCGCTCTGGATAAGAGCGTCTGCTAAATGACTAAAAAAATAAATAAAAAAATGAGAAGTTTGATATGTGCCCTAGCCTGCCGCACTATGGATTTATTTCCCTGGTTGACACAGACATGCTCAGGAAAGTGATTCCCACCACCTTCTTCAAAACAGTTTTTAATTGCATATCTCAAGAAGTGCAAGCTATTGTTAATCACTCCCTGTTCACAGGCACTTTCCCCACTGCACTAAAAACTGCTATGGTGAAACCCCTTCTGAAGAAAGTAATCTAGATTCTTCAGCTCTTAGCAGTTTTCGGCCAATCTCCATCCTTCCATTCTTAAGCAAAATTCAGGAGAAACTGTGCCAACTGTATTTTTGAAAAATGTCAATCTGTTTTTTTGTGCCCTCCACAGTACAGAGACGGCCTTAGTTAAAAGGGGTAAATCCCTCCCGAGTGGCGCAGTGGTCTAAGGCCACTAGAGATCCTGGTTCGAATCCAGGCTCTGTCGTAGCTGGCCACGACCGGGAGACCCATGGGCCGTCGCGCAATTGGCCCAGCGTCGTCCAGGGTAGGGGAGGGAATGGCCGGCAGGGATGTAGCTCAGTTGATAGAGCATGGCGTTTGCAACGCCAGGGTTGTGGGTTCGATTCCCACAGGGAATAATGTATGCACTAACTGTAAGTCGCTCTGGATAAGAGCGTCTGCTAAATGACTAAAAATTTAAACATTTTAATAATCTTAGAGCCAACACAGATGCCAAACAGCTCTCTGTCCTTGGATTTAAGTGCTGCATTCGACACTGTTGACCATGATGTCCTTCTGGACAGACTGGAGAGGTGGGTTGGCCTCTCCGGTGTAGTTATAAATTGGTTAATGACCTATTTAACCGGTCAAGTGTTTTTTGTCACCCTTGATAAACATATCTCAGAGAAAATATATATCACCTGTGTAGTTCCACAAGGTTCGATTTTGGGTCCAGTACTGTTCAGTTTCTATATGTTACCGGTTGGCAGCGTTATTAGAAAGCACAGCATTGATAGAATACCAGGTAAATCCCCTAGGTGTCATTTTTGATTCTGAACTCAATTTCGAATCACACATTAGGAATGTGACCAAAATAGGTTTTTACCACCTGAGGAACATTGCCAAGGTGCAGCCGTTTCTCTCTCAGGCTGATACAGAGAGACTCATCCATGCTTTTATTACAAGCAGGCTTGACTACTGTAATGTTCTCCTGTCTGGTCTACCCAAGAAAGCCATTGGTCAACCGCAAAACATACAGAATGCTGCAGCACGGGTACTGACCAAGACCAGACAGAGAGCACACATTACACCGGTTTAAGGTCTCTGCACTGGCTGCCTGTGAGTTTTAGAATACATTTTAAGATTCTTCTATTGGTTTTTAAATTGTGCACCCAAATACATGTCAGACATGCTTTTGACTTATGTACCCAGTAGGTCCCTCAGGTCTTCTGGCACTAGCCTTTTAACAATCCCAAAGCCATGGAGAGGCAGCCTTTAGTTATACCTCTGGAATAGCCTGCTAGAGAACCTGAGAGGTGCCGAAACTGTGGACATGCTGTATTTAAAACACACCTTTTTAGCGTTGCTTTTCGTTAGGGTGCTTTTTAGTCGTTCAGTCTTTATTGTTATTTTTTATTTTAATTTTTTTTGGGGGGGGGGGTACATCAGCTTAATATTGCAGATAGATTGTAACTTCTATCAATGTAATTGTCTGCATCACTTCCAATCCCCATTGTTTTTTATATATACAGTGGGGGAAAAAAGTATTTAGTCAGCCACCAATTGTGCAAGTTCTCCCACTTAAAAAGATGAGAGAGGCCTGTAATTTTCATCATAGGTACACGTCAACTATGACAGACAAATTGAGAAAAAAAATCCAGAAAATCACATTGTAGGATTTTTAATGAATTTATTTGCAAATTATGGTGGAAAATAAGTATTTGGTCACCTACAAACAAGCAAGATTTCTGGCTCTCACAGACCTGTAACTTCTTCTTTAAGAGGCTCCTCTGTACTCCACTCGTTACCTGTATTAATGGCACCTGTTTGAACTTGTTATCAGTATAAAAGACACCTGTCCACAACCTCAAACAGTCACACTCCAAACTCCACTATGGCCAAGACCAAAGTGCTGTCAAAGGACACCAGAAACAAAATTGTAGACCTGCACCAGGCTGGGAAGACTGAATCTGCAATAGGTAAGCAGCTTGGTTTGAAGAAATCAACTGTGGGAGCAATTATTAGGAAATGGAAGACATACAAGACCACTGATAATCTCCCTCAATCTGGGGCTCCACGCAAGATCTCACCCCGTGGGGTCAAAATCCTGCAGTGCCAGACGTGTCCCCCTGCTTAAGCCAGTACATGTCCAGGCCCGTCTGAAGCTAGAGTGCATTTGGATGATCCAGAAGAGGATTGGGAGAATGTCTTATGGTCAGATGAAACAAAAATATAACTTTTTGGTAAAAACTCAACTCGTCGTGTTTGGAGGACAAAGAATGCTGAGTTGCATCCAAAGAACACCATACCTACTGTGAAGCATGGGGGTGGAAACATCATGCTTTGGGGCTGTTTTTCTGAAAAGGGACCAGGACGACTGATCCGTGTAAAGGAAAGAATGAATGGGGCCATGTATCGTGAGATTTTGAGTGAAAACCTCCTTCCATCAGCAAGGGCATTGAAGATGAAACGTGGCTGGGTCTTTCAGCATGACAATGATCCCAAACACACCAACCGGGCAGCGAAGGAGTGGCTTCGTAAGAAGCATTTCAAGGTCCTGGAGTGGCCTAGCCAGTCTCCAGATCTCAACCCCATAGAAAATCTTTGGAGGGAGTTGAAAGTCTGTGTTGCCCAGCGACAGCCCCAAAACATCACTGCTCTAGAGGAGATCTGCATGGAGGAATGGGCCAAAATACCAGCAACAGTGTGTGAAAACCTTGTGAAGACTTACAGAAAACGTTTTACCTGTGTCATTGCCAACAAAGGGTATATAACAAAGTATTGAGAAACTTTTGTTATTGACCAAATACTTATTTTCCACCATAATTTGCAAATAAATTCATTAAAAATCCTACAATGTGATTTTCTGGATTTTTCTTTCTCATTTTGTCTGTCATAGTTGACGTGTACCTATGATGAAAATTACAGGCCTCTCATCTTTTTAAGTGGGAGAACTTGCACAATTGGTGGCTGACTAAATACTTTTTTCCCCCCACTGTATACTTGTATACTCCCCTTTATTACTTTTCAACCCCGCCATCCTTTCCCTACTTGGGGTAAATTAGTGAACAACAATGCCAGGCCTCTACTTCCAGCCTATACTTACTATCTACACCTTATGGACACAGTCAATTTTACAATAATTCTATTTTATTTGTTTTTTTTGTTTTGCTCCTGAACTACTTCTACTCTCAACCTCTCCGATCATTTTCATGATGTCCATCCGGTTTGCTTCTATATGCCATATCTTTCTAACTGTGCTCTTTCCCAAAAGCTCCCAACATACAACCTATATACTTATTATGGACACAGTATGCTTACATTATTAGTTATCTTGTTATTATTTGTTGTTATTTGTTATTAGTCCCATCCTTCAACTCCATTCAATACCTCCCATCTATCTCTTAACACCATCCATATAGGATTTCTATTTGCCATATATATTTCAACCGTACTGTGATGTTTTACAAAAGTTCTGAACCTTTCTATCCTCATTGCTTCTTCAGATTGTGCTAAATTTTTGCTAAAAGTATTATTATATTATTGATCGATTGACTATGACTTTTCAGATCACCCAGTAATGCTATCTGCAAGGTTAGCTCCAGGTAAATATTGCAATCCTTTAGCCATTCCTGGACCTGTGTCCAAAAACAAGCTACAAATGGACAGAACCAAAACAAATTATCTAATGATTCTGTCTCTTCACAGCAAAATCTGCAGAGCTGGGAAGATTGTATCCCCCATATAAATAACATTCTATTCGTAGCAAGAATTTTATATAATAATTTAAATTGAAAGATTCTAATTTTTGAATCCGGTGTCGTTTTGCGTGTCAGTTCATAAACACTATGGGATCGGTACGTCAAAAATCTCTTCCCAACTATTTTGCAATCTATATGGGACGGCTGTCAATCCTTTGGTCCTTAAGTGAAACTGATATACTTTTTTATTTATCACTGTTTTCCTTAACCAATTATGTTCTCTAATGCAAGGCCGACAGACAAGTTCCTTACTTTCTCCCCCTTCCACTTTCCTCTTCCACTTTTGCGGTAAGGCTGCAATTATTTGGTTGTAATTTTGGGTAGAGCAGACATTTCCATATGTTTTTGTTAGCTGCATGTGCGACATAACTCCACCAGTCCTACCGATGATATCATTTACGAAGATTATACCTTTTTTAAACATTCTGTCAAAAAATAAAGTTTTTCTGTCAATTAGTATATTTGAATTTAACCACAATATTTGTTGCATTATTTGTTCTGTCGTTTCTGGAGGATTACATTGAAATTCCAACCAACTTTCTATGGCTTGTTTTAGAAATAGTGATATTTGGGAGATGATTTCCTTTTCAAATAACTGAAAATTAGTTGTTGTAATCTGAATAAAGGGAAAAAGGCCATTCTTGAACATTGGGTGAGACAATCTTACTAATTTGCTTGAGAACCAGTTCGGATTTAAGTATAACCTTTGTATGACTGAAGCTCTTAGTGATAGGTCTAATGCTTTAATATTTAATAATTTCTGTCCTCCGAATTCATATTCATTATATAAATAGGCCCTTTTAATTTTGTCTGGCTTGCCGTTCCAAATAAAATTGAATATTTTCTTCTCATATAATTTAAAAAACTGTTCGCTTAGGCGTAGGCAAGACCGTAAACAAATTGGTAAACTGGGATAATACTAAAAAGTTAATCAGGGTGATTTTTCCACAAATTGACAGGTATTTACCTTTCCATGGTAGTAAGATCTTATCTATTTTTGCTAACTTTCTATTAAAATGTATTGAAGTGAGATCATTTATTTCCTTTGGGATATGTATTCCAAGTATATCCACATCACCATCAGACCATTTTATTGGTAAACTACATGGTAATGTAAAAATTTTATTTTTTAGTGATCCAATACGTAATATAGTACATTTGTCATAATTTGGTTGTAATCCAGAGAGGTTAGAAAATGTATCTAGATCCTCTATGAGGCTGTGGAGGGATTCTAGTTGTGGATTTAAAAGAAAACATGAATCATCAGCGTACAATGACACCTTTGTTTTTAAGCCCATTGTTTTTTATTTGTTTTTTTCCTATGAAGCACATTGTGTTGCATTCCATGTCTGAAATGTGATGTATAAATAAAGCTTGATTGGATTTGATTTGATGTAAATGTTAATGTTAATATGCTACCTTCTGGGCCCTGAAGACCTCTTTCTATCTGTACAAGTCTCTCTTGACCCTTAGATAAATCTGGTCATATACAGGTGGTAGTGATGGTGGTCGTGGTGCTGTCTTACCACAGAAGAGATGGCCACAGTTGGTCTGTACGGGGAAGCTGGCAGTTTGCAGACACACAGGGCAGAGCCAGTCCCTGTGGCCCGCGGATGGACAGATCTGAGAGGTGTCCTTGAGAAAGAGGAGTACATTGGTACGGTAAGAGATAGGTAAATATAACACAGGTTTCTGTTTCTCCTCTGCACTTAATTGATCACAAAAGAGTGATTGGACACTGTGGCCCTCAGGAACATGAGATACACACCCCTGGAATAGCAGGACATTAACAGAAACAAACACCAGGGAAGAGATGAAGCCAAGGTCCTATAAATCACAGTGGACCTCATCATAAGGAAATATAATCTAAGTTAGCTTGCCAGCTTGATGGAGCTCTACCATATCCTCCTTCACTCCAGACTGCCTCTGTTCTCAGCATTATTAATAACAGTAATAAGTATTAGTAAAAGTTATCAGTTATCACATTTTTTGATTTTTTTGGTCCATTAATATTAGTATTTACAAAAAGTAAAAATAAAAATGTCAAAACCTTGATGAAAATGTTTTCATACTACCATAATCAAAATGTCATGAATTGTAACCACTTTCAAATGGACATACACTGAGTGTACAAAAAATTATGAACACCTTGTAGTGTCCATTGTAACATAATTTGATTGACACTGCAGTGTGATTGTAGTGGTTGTCACATTAGGTCTTAGAACCCTGCAGGGCAGTTGCATAACACATCTTAAGTGTTTCCCTTAAAGGGACATTTCAAAAATGTTCGACTTCATATTCATAATCTCCAGCACCACCCCAACATCAACATATGTGAAAATGGCAAGTTTCTATGTTTTGTGGGGAGAAAAAAGGAAGATAACTGTTTCCAATGACATCATCGGTGTACATCATGTGATTTTAACCAATTATGGGTAGGCATTGCCCGCTAATTGTCTACTAATTAGTTGATGGTGTCATTGGAAACCCTTATCTTCCTCTCTTTTTGACTACAAAACATAGAAACACTCTATTTACACATACAGCATGTTGGTGCTGGAGATGATGAATATGAAGTTGAACTTCTTTGACATTTTCCTTTAAGGGTTTACCTTAAGGAATAATTGTCCCTTCTCTAAGGGAATTGTGTAAGGGTGTTGCATAGAGCCCCTCAAACATTTCCTTAGGTAAGGGCATAATTTAAGGGTTTTATGGTAGTTTGAAGGCATGTATGGCCATAGAATTAGGAATTAGAATACTAGAATGGACATGAACCTTCTTATGATGGTCCAAAGGTCAGCCATTTTGGCCAGGGAGTTGGTCTACCATGGTTTGCCAGTGCTGTGATAAGATATTGTGTAAAACAATGAATGTGAAGAATTGATCTGCACTGTATGTGTGTTAGCTAGTTAGCCAGACAGTTTTAGAGGAATGATTCCATAAATGTGTTTAATTAACTGCCAATATGCCAACATTCCATTTAAAACAATGCAGTCAATCCACAGCCAATCATACACTGGCTCAAATCAGTTGATGATAGGACTTAGACAAGTTGTAAATGCAACAAGTACTGATATTGTATCATATAATAGCACTCACAGCTATCCATGAAAACAAAATCTGAGACATTTATGGTCTGTTTACATATATTTTAGAGGCTATTTATACAGAAAATGGGCATAAAACCCGTATAAACTGTATTTATTATTATATGATAATATTTTAGGTTGACTATAATTCCATTACACAATTTCTGATTCATAGCATGCCTTACTTTTATTTTCCTGTCTAAGTAAAAGCAGGAAATGCATCACCTATGCCCAGGGGTGAAAGTATAATTAATTTCTTCCCGGTACGGGACCTCCTATATGTGCACGTTTTTGCGCATAATTCAATAGGATCTCTGTAGGCTTAGTCGTAAAGATTTGTCATTTAACTTTTAAAATGTATTACCTTTATTGTGGCATAAATACAACCAGTCAGGATGTTTTCATCTGATCGTCAAACAATCACTTAAAACAGCTCCTACCTGCGCAAGTTCATCCACTCGCAACATATTCCCAGTCTCCAAACAGTGGTGAATGGAAAGAGACATCTCTTACACAAAACATCAAAAAGTGTAATAATGACATTTGGCGATTGTCATTAGGCCAGAATTTATGCGTCCACTGCTGTCCGTGTGTGTTTTCGGTGTCGGCCACTCATCTCTGCCTTGGCAAAATGTCAGTGTTTTCGTTTAACCACATCGCATTTTGGAGCGTAGGCTATACCACCTGTTTTCAAGTCCATTCGCTTATTTTTCCTGCCTCTGACATACGGTAATGATAAATAATGGTGTAATAGCCTACAGTTTTCTTGACATTTTGTTTTAATTATTGTGATAGGCTCATGTTTTACCGGTACGGCATACCTCCTCTATCTCTTTTGACGGGACTCCATACCAGACCGTACCGTCTTACGTTCATCCCTGCCCATGTCTCTACTGCCATTAATTCCAATTAGACTGGTTTTAGATTTTTCCCTGACCAATATGGCTGTCATTTTGGCCCCATTATGGAACATTGAGGGTTTATGACATAGCCCCTCTAGTAATATAATAGGATCTCTATGTGTATGGCAGAAAGAGTCTCTGGTTACCATGGAGATGACCTGATTCACTGAATGAACTACTCATCAAATAGATTTATTTTGGGAGATATCAAACTAGAACTTCTACATTCAAGACAGGAGAAACAAATTCATTCAGAAAATAATAAAACACGTTTATTTTAGTTACTTTTTTCTCAACTTGTTTCAATTACTTTCTAGCACTTCAAGCTAATTTACAGAGTAAGTAGCTAGCCATCTAGCTTTGTAGCCATGGATTGTGCACCTTCCATTGTTTAACTAAGTAGCTAACGTTACCTAACTAGCTGGTGGATGTTTTCCTTTGGAAACCAGGGCAGAGGAAAGCAACATTCAACTCCACAAATGCTGTTTACATTGATATCCATACTGAATGAAGCACTTAAGGGACCTTATGGGCGCCCTTAGCTTTTTCACCTAATTTAAGGGGGAAACTCACTTTAAAATGTTTTGTACAACTGACCTAAAGATAAGGAAACTTTAAAGGAAAAGATAAGGGGGAAATTAACTTAAGATGTTTTATGCAACCGGGCCTAGCATTTTTAGATGTTAGGGGTCATCAGTAATTGACCCCTGTGTGTGTGTGTGTGTGTGTGGCCTCACCTTGCTGTAGCTTACATGTTTGAGGGCTGTTCGGTCCTGTGTGTGCTCTGAGGATCTAGAGGAGGGGGGGGGGGGGGGGGGGGGGGGGGGGGGGGGGGGGTGGGGGGGGGGGGGGGGGGGGGGGGTTCAGAATTACTTCCCCAATTTAAATGTAGATGCTCAAACGATCAATAAAAATATATAATATAAAAATATCACCATAGCTGTACAAATAGTTGCTTGTTGGAAGTTGCAGTTGATACTGACTGAAGTCTGTAGATAGTTTGTCCAACATCTATACATTGTCTATAGAGGACAATACACATACATTGCAGCCAAACTGGGATCTTATGGCTATTCGCCCAGTGCAAGTTTAGTTAGTTGGTATAAAAGCTAGTAACCAGATACTAGATACCCCATTATGTTCGCCCTATACCAAGTACCCAAACTAGTTAACCGTGAAAATCCCAAGATACCAGACCGTTACAGTCTATGTACCAGGCACCCACATTTTCTGACACCCACACATGAAACACCCAACCACACCTACACTAGCAGCCTCTGCAGTGTGTGAGTGGGTGGTGTATAGAGGAGAGGGTATAGATCCTCTGTTTATGCCCAGAGAAGAAAACTTACCTGGGATGAGAGCTGTGGTAGGGTTGCATGGTCTGATTCACACTGATTACTAGCAGTTTGTCCCACATTCCTTACTAAGGCATCGTGGCTGGCCAGCGAGTCCAGGTTAAATATGACATTACAAAATATATAGTCAGGTCCATAAGTATTTGGACAGTGACACAATTTGCATCATTTTGGCTCACAATGGATTTGAAAGGAAACAGACAAGATGTGCTTTAAGTGTAGACTTTCATCTTTAATTTAAGGGTTTTGTCAAAATTATTGTATGAACCGTGAGGAATTACAACCATTTTTATACAAACCCCCCCAATTTTAGGGGCTCAAAAACCGTGAAAATCCCAAGATACCAGACCGTTACAATCTATATACCAGGCACCTACATTTTCTGACACCCACACATGAAACACCCAACCACACCTATACTAGCAGCCTCTGCAGTGTGTGAGTGGGTGGTGTGTAGAGGAGAGGGTATATATCCTCTGTTTATGCCCAGAGAGAAGAAAACATACCTGGGATGAGAGCTGTGGTAGGGTTGCATGGTCTGATTCTTCTGGCAGCTGTCTGATCTGGAGCTAGAAGTGTAGGTCTGGTAGCTGTAGAAAGGCAGAGAGCCTGAGAGTGTGTCTCTGTAGAGTGTGTTTCCCGGAGAGGCTAGAGAAGGAAAGGCTTCCTGACAGCATCACTGTACACAATATATCTGACTGGTCAGTTAATCATTAACTAGGCCTTTCGATCTGGGAGCTGAGGGCTGCCTGCCTGCCAAAGACCTAGAGAGACCATTGAATGACAATTTACATTTTAATCATTTAGCAGACGCTCTTATCCAGAGCGACTTACAGTTAGTGAGTGCATATATTTTCATACTGGCCCCCCGTGGGAAACGAACCCACAACCCTGGCGTTGCAAGCACCATGCTCTACCAATGGAGCTACACGGGGCCAATGTACTAGTATGACATAACATAGACGCAGATTCTCTCATATGTGATAGATGTGATTGGTAAATTTGTTTATAACATGAAATCAATAAGGGCTCAAAACAAAAAACGGAAATTGTTTCTGTGGCCACTCCCATCTCCACATTCTATTTTGATCATGTGACCACCCACGCAAGGTCAAAGCTATCCTCTTTGGCCCCACCTTTTCAGTCCAACTTTGCCAATGATTTACTATACGTTTACTCAGCTCTGGCCCACATAGTTTTCTTTTACCATAAAACACCAGCTCTGTGGTGGTGAAATAGAGTTGTGAAATAACTTATTGTCTATCGATCAATATGTATTGGACTACTGTTGAAGAGCTACCCAGTTGAAAGGAACATCAAACCCTCTCTAAATTCACTAGGATTGGCATCATAATAGTCTTCATATATAAGTCTGTCACATTGGTACTGGTAGATACAGATGAGCAATTCCCAAGGTCAAGATTACAACTGAATTCCCACAGTCTGCCATGATAATGAATAATAACATTTACACAAACGTTTACCTTACAGTTCCTGGCCAAAAGTAGAAGGTCAAAATGCCTCAGAATGTCTAATTATAACAAGAGTTGATCGATGTCGCAGGGGCCACTAACAGTGACTTTGCCGCTGGAGATGGCTAAAGTCCCATGTCACACACACACTGATTACTAGCAGTTTGTCCCACATTCCTTACTAAGGCATCGTGGCTGGCCAGTGAGTCCAGGTTAAATATATGACATTACAAAATATATACAGTCAGGTCCATAAGTATTTGGACAGTGATACAATTTGCATCATTTTGGCTCAACAATCAAGATGTGCTTTAAGTGTAGACTTGCATCTTTAATTTAAGGGTTTTGTCAAAATTATTGTATGAACCGTGTAATAATTACAACCATTTTTATACATAGCCCCTCAATTTTAGGGGCTCTAAAGTAATTGGACAAACTAACATAATCATAAATTAAATTGTGAGTTTTAATACTTGGTTGCAAATCATTTGCTGTCAATGACTGTCTGAAGTCTGGAACCCATAGACATCACCAGATGCTGGGTTTCTTCCCTGGTAATGCTCTGCCAGGCCTTTACTGCAGCTGTCTTCAGTTCCTGCTTGTTCTTGGGGCGTTTTGCCTTCAGCAAGTGAAATGCATGCTCAATTGGATTCAGGTCAGGTGATTGACTTGGACATTGCAGAACATTCCACTTCTTTGCCTTAAAAAAGTATTGGGTTGCTTTCGCAGTTGTCACGATCGTTTACGAACGAGAAGGACCAAGGCGCAGCGTGATAAGCATTCATGTTTATTTATCTACTGAATAAACACCCGACAAAACAACAAACGAAATGTGAAGTCCAAGGTAGCATACAAACAACATACCTTACACGGAACAAGATCCCACAACTAACTGGTGCCAACAGGCTGCCTAAGTATGGTCCCCAATCAGAGACAACGAGCAACAGCTGCCTCTGATTGGGAACCACACAGGCCAACATAGATCTACACATTCTAGATCTTAAACATAGAACATCGACATAGCAAACACAACACAGAAAATACACACCCTGACTCAACAAATACAAGTCCTCAGAGTCAGGGCGTGACAGCAGTATGCTTTGCGTCATTGTCCATCTGCGCTGTGAAACGCCGTCCAATGAGTTTTGAAGCATTTGGCTGAATCTGAGCAGATAATATAGCCCTAAACACTTCAGAATTCATCCTTCTGCTTTTGTCAACAGTCACATCATCAATAAATACAAGGGAACCTGTTCCATTGGCAGCCACACATGACCACGCCATAACACTACCTTCACCAAGATGGCGTAGTAGTGCAGTTGTGTTTTTATCGTATGTCTGTAAATAGCCTGTAAATACCCTATTTTTCGTACATATTTCCCTATCAGACTTTTCATCCTTCTACAAGATATACTTTCCTGCAACCCGCCTCACTCAATGTGGAACGGATTCTATTATTGACTTACCTTTATCTAGAATCTAGAATCTCCAGTTGAAACTAGCTAGCCAGCTAACTAGCTACTTGCTATTAGCCACAGCTAGCGGTGTTTCACCCAGAATCATTTGATTTTTTTTCCGCGGGATTAATTTTAATCACTGGACATTGATCACCGGATATTCGGCCAGTCTGCACAGCGCGTTATCGACCCAGAACATATCAGTTTTTCCGCCGGAATCACTGAATCACTGGACCTTTAACTCCGGATTCATCGCTACCAGCTGGCTACAACAAAACGGACGCTGTGGTCTGGCTAATCATCCTGAGCTAGGCCCATCTCCCGGCTATCTACCTCTCTGTCAACCGGACGGGACCACCTAGTGTTGACACGGAGCCCCGCCGATCCTACACGACTGGTCTGCCGACGAAATCGTCTGATGTGGTTACGACGTTAACCACGAAGATTCCATCCATCTGCTAGCCCTGGCCCGCTAGCACACGCTAGCCGTGGCCTCTTACTCACTAGTGCTTCACCACCGGACCTTATGATAACTCAGCTATACAGCTGATATCTGCTGGACTGTTCCTTTTTACGGTACTACATCCTGTTTATGTTTAGCCTCAGCCCAAACATGGCTAGTTTATTGTTGTTTCGGTTATTTCTAATTGTACTATATCACTGTAGACCCCCCAGCCTAGCTAAACCTGCCTTAGATAGCTCCTTTGCCCCTCCCCCTATACACGCGGAGACCGACTCAATTGATGCCTCCAGCGATGCTATCTCTTTCATTGTTACCCAACGCTTAGGTTTACCTCCACTTTACTCATATCCTTCCATATCCTTGTCTGTACATAATGCCCTGAATCTTTTCTATAACACCCGGAAATCTGTCCCCTTTATTCTATGTACCCAACGCACTAGAAGACCAGTTCTTAAAGCCTTTAGCCGTATCCTTATTCTAGTCCTCCTCTGTTCCTCTGGTGATGTAGAGGCTAACCCAGGCCCTGCAGCCCTCAGTATCACTCCTACTCCCCAGGCGCTATCATTTGATGACTTCTGTAATCGCAAAAGTCTTGGTTTCTTGCACATAAATATCAGAAGTCTACTTCCTAAGTTTGAGTTATTCACTGCGTTAGCACACTCTGCCAACCCTGATGTTCTAGCAGTGTCTGAATCCTGGCTCAGGAAGGCCACCAAAAATTCTGAAATTTCCATCCCCAACTATAACATTTTCCGTCTAGATAGAACTGCCAAAGGGGGTGGAGTTGCAATCTACTGTAGAGATAGCCTGCAGAGCTCTATCATACTATTCAGGTCTGTGCCCAAACAGTTTGAGCTTCTACTTCTAAAAATCCACCTTTCCAGAAATAAGTCTCTCACTGTTGCCGCTTGCTACAGACCCCCCTCAGCCCCCAGCTGTGCCCTGAACACCATATGTGAATTGATTGCCCCCCATTTATCCTCAGAGTTTGTACTGCTTGGTGACCTAAATTGGGATATGCTTAATACCCCAGCCATCCTACAATCCAAGCTAGATGCCCTCAACCTCACGCAAATTATCAACGAACCTTCCAGGTACAACCCTAAATCCGTAAACATGGGTACCCTCATAGATATCATCCTGACTAACATACCCTCTAAATACACCTCAGCTGTCTTCAACCAGGATCTCAGCGATCACTGCCTTATTGCCTGCGTCCGTAACGGGTCCGCGGTCAAACGACCACCCCTCATCACTGTCAAACGCTCCCTAAAACACTTTAGCGAGGAGGCCTTCCTAATTGACCTGGCCCAGGTATCCTGGATGGATATAGATCTCATTCCGTCAGTAGAGGATGCCTGGTTGTTCCTTAAAAGTAATTTCCTCTCAATCTTAAATAAACATGCCCCATTCAAAAAATACAGAACTAAGAACCGATATAGCCCCTGGTTCTCCTCAGACTTGACTGCCCTTGACCAGCACAAAAACATCCTGTGGCGTACAGCATTAGCATCAAATAGCCCCCGCGATATGCAACTTTTCAGGGAAGTTAGGAACCAATATACACAAGCAGTCAGGAAAGCAAAGGCTAACTTTTTCAAAACAGAAATTTGCATCCTGTAGCACTAACT